TTCGTTCTCTTCTGCTCTACAACATGACAAAAAGCCAAAGAACCGAAAATCTTAAAATGCTTAACAAAGGGTATAGTACCTAACCAAACTGCATGTGGGACGTTGTCTGTCAACTTCTTTGTAGGACACCTATTCAGTACATACACAGCTGTTGCCACCGCTTCTCCCCACAATTCACGCGATACGCCCTTCTCTTTAAGCAAACATCTGGCCATATTCATTATTGTTCGATTTCGTCTTTCGGCCAAACCGTTATGTTGTGGTGTATAAGGGGCTATAATCTCATGTGCTATTCCCTGTGCCTGACAAAATTCATCAAATTCACGCGACGTATACTCACCTCCACCATCTGTCCTGATCAGCTTTATCTGCCTATCAATTTCTTTTTCAACACGATTCTTGAACCGCTTGAAAACTTCTAGAACATCACTTTTCAGCCTTATGAAGTATACCCATATCATACGACTGTATTCATCTATAAATGTAACGAAGTATCGATTACCAGCTAATGTTGATATCTCAAGTGGACCGCACACATCTGAATGAATTACTTCAAGACGTTCTTTAGACCTCATCTTCAAGTGAGTTTTGAAAGGTCTTCTCGTTTACTTTCCTATGATGCAAGATTCACAAGCTCTCTGAGGTATAAATATATCTGGTAACCCAGAAACTATCACCTTTTTGCTTAACAGTTGCAGATCTCTGAAATTCAGATGTCTGAATCTCAGATGCCATCTCCAATTCTCATCCACTTCCATGTAGATAAACACTGCAGATTCTCAATTATATCCATATGAACCTTGAAGGTACAATTCTTAGAAATCTTACTTTCCAGGACTAGCCTTTTGTTTTTATCAAACACTTCCACTTTTCCTTGATTGCCCATCATCACAGTGAAACCTTTCTCTACCAGTTGATCCAGACTAAGCAAGTTGCATTTATCTCTAGTACAAAAAGAACATTTTCTATCGTAGCCTTCAGTCCATTCTTCTGTTTTATGATAATATTTCTGATCCCTTCAACCTTCAATGTACTATCATCGGCAACTCTGACCCTGTTTTTCTTTCTTTCGTTCAGATTAATAAGCCACTCTGTATTGTATGTCATGTGGTTTGAACATCCTGAATCCAGATACCATAATTTGTTTGTTTGGTATGACATAGCAACGCTTTCTGAAGAAGTTGTAACCATAAGAATTAATGGCTCTGTGTCAGACTCGTCTTTTACAAAATGATCTTGCTTGCTTTGATCTTTCTTCAACTGTCTACCTTTGTTGAAATAACACTCATAGGAGAAATGTCCCAACTTATGGCACGTAAAACACTCTATATTTCTTCTGTCTTTCTTCTTGTAGTATTTGTTGTCTCTTCCTATGCTTTATGCAGAATCACCTCTTTCCTCTTGTTCTTCAACGCCATCATTCTTCCACTTCCTTTGTACAGAATTATCATTCTTCCATCTACTTTGTGCAAATTATCATTCTTCCATTTACCTGGTACATTGGATTTACCTTTCCAAGTCTTGAATTTCTTCTTCCCATCACCTCTAACATGTTGCACCTTTAATGCCTGATCATCAGCTCTGACAGGATCTCTAACAAGAAGACGCATCTCGTGAGCTTCAAAAGAACTCTGAAGCTCTTCAATTTTTATCTTTTCAAGATCTTTAGATTCTTCAATAGCAACAACAATAAAATCAAATCTCCGAGGTAATGATCTCATTATTTTCTCCATAATCAACACATCACTAAGCTCTTCCCCACAGCTCTTCATTTGGTTTGTAATCGTTAAAACTTTGTTGAAGTAGTCAATGACCTTATCACCATCTTCCATTTACAACAATTCGTACTGCCTCCGCAAAGTTTGTAGCCGTACTTTCTTGATTTTCTTTCCGCCGACATGACAACGTACCAAAATATTCCAAGCCTTCCTCGCCGTATTCGCATTTTGGATCTTCTCGAAGTGTGTATCATCTACACACCGATGAATGATCAAGAGCCTTATCGTCCTTCTTACTAATCTCCGCCTTCTGATCTTCTGTGCCACAAAACTCAGTTGCAGACTCCACCCCTTCTATCACGCTGCTGACTCCTTGTACCCGAAACAGCACCCGCATTTGCGTGCTCCATCTACTCGAATTCTTTTCGGTTAGAATAGGAAGATTTGTCGTGGAAAAATCTGCCATCAACGCTTACTTTTTGCTTCAAGAGCCTTCTTCTTTAGACGCTTCTTGGTTAACCGCACTGAACCAAACACTCAAACACCTTACGTCTCTTTTTCAAGAACCTAGGCTAACCGATACCACTAATGGAAACAAAAATGTATAGCAGTGGTACAAATATTAAGGAGTATATGAAAAACAGAGAGAAAGAAGATATGCAGTAGTATATTACAAAATGAAAGAATAGTGTTTTTATACAAGAGAAAACTAACTGTAAAAATGAGTAACAAAAATAACTAACTAACTTATAAACTAGGGACTTGAATTATATATCCAATAACATACACAACGCTTTTCCTCCGCTCAGTTTAAGCTCCTTCACTTTCTTCCCCATGCCTACACCTTCTTTATCCTCCATCACCCTTCTCACCCCGTTGCAGGATGTTCCAGGATCTTGGCCTACGAGGCTCACATGGGAACCACAACCCCCACCCCCTCCGACCTTTTCAGAAACCCTTTCGGCAAGTAACTCATTGCAGCATCACCGCCACTCGCGTCACTTTTGCAAGGTGGCCGCACCACCCAAACAAACCTATGTTGGCTCAGCTCTAACCTCAACGCCACCTCCCTCATTTGGTTCCCCGACATTGTCCCACCGCTCCCAAACGACACGTAGACCATCGACTCAGCCGATTGCTCGTCCATCCATTGCAAAACGTCACCCTTCTTTCCATCCTCCTGTTTCTTCTCCACCCTTCTCACCAACGGTCCAACCGCGTACACCTCTTCCTTCCTCTTCCTTTGTAAACCGTCCCAAAATCCCATCCTCTGTCAGCGCCTTCGTCATAGCGGGCTCCAGATCTTGCCACGTATTCATCAAAATTCCATCAAAACATACAATAAAAGAATAATAAAGTAGTAATTCCAAAAAAAAACTATAGAAACAATTTTTTACTTATTTTGTATCACTTTATCCAGAGGTGCAGAGAAAAAAATACTGGACAAATTGCTTTACACAAAAAAGCAGAAGAGAGAGAAACAAAATTTAACACTTTGTGAGTATTTAACAGAAGGGACTTGATTGAGACAATTTTTAACAAGTGAGGATGCAATTGACACCTTTTTAAAAGGAGGAATCTAATTGACACAACTCACCCGGGGACAAAATAAGCTATTAAACCAAAAATAATAATAATAATTTTAATTGCGTTGTAGGTCCAGAGTCTGTACTATCCACCTCAACCTCTAATTACTTAACACGTCATCACACATATAACCTTAAAAATGACACGTTACCATTATCTTTTGCCAGATTATCAATCCATTAACGTTGTTTGTTTCTATTTAACGGAAAAGACGATGTTGACGCAATATTTACTAAGCGAGGACCAAATTGATACTCTTTTCAAACGAATGACCTTTTTGAGAAAAATCAGCAAAATTAGGGATAAAATAGGTTATTAAGCCTAAATTTTTTATTTGAATTTTTACCAAATGTTTAAAATGTTTACATATTTATTTATAAACAGAGAGTGTACTCCAACACAGTTTTCACCCTAATTCATTGATTCCAAGAGCTTAAACAATAGATTTTTTGTGTCATGTGTATAGATTTTGTTTACATGACAATTGATTTTAAGATTATTCACTTGTGAAAATCTTTATGTATGAAAATTCTCACTTAGTTAAAAAGAACAAGTAAAGATTTTTCTACAAATATTCATGTTTTTTCTCCAAGATTGCAAAAAATTTATTTTAAACGAAAGTCGTCACTCTAATTGACGATTTAAGTGTAATTGACATTTACGATTTGTAATTGATTTTAAACTAAAGTTATTATTAACTTCAATGTAATTAATTGCCATTTCTTCTCCTCCTTGCACAACTTTACTTTTACAGAATAAAGTCGTTTATAAACATGACGACTTCTTCAAAATATAATCATGTTTATATAACGCAATTTAATGGTATTTTTTTTAAAAGAATCTATATTAATAATTTTGAACAAAAATTAACCCCTTTTTGTTAAAAAGTCATGTCTAGGCGTTGTTATCCGTAAACATACGGCGTGTGACTACATTTTTTTGTTTATGAATAAAACAATGTTACAATTTATTTTATATTATATTAATTTATAGGATTGTTCATCAGTTTTAATAAACCCAACTGATATGACAATCCAGACCAATTAGATTAGTTCAAATTTGTAACTTAAATTAGTTTTATATGAATTTGCTTCAAATGGTTCAATCATTTAAAACTGAACTTAATACTTGACAATGTACAATTTCAAAAACACGATTATTATAAATAAAATTAAATATATTTTTTATTCTTTAATTTTCAGTAAAAATTAAAATTATTCACTGTTAGTCCAAAGTTTTAAAAAAACTAATTCCAATTTTCACTTAAAATAAAAAATATATTTAACTTATAAATGATAACTCCCCTCATATAGTTAACGTATTAATTCAAAATTATTAATTAAACTAAAACGATCATATAATTAGCCATGTCCAGAACATTATTTCTTGATTTTAATGTATAGTTAAATTATATAATTAAAAAATATACAACAAAAACAAAACTATGCTTTGTAGCATATTTTTAAGATAAATTATGCCAATATACATATAATATTGTGTTAGATAAAGCTTATTTATTAAATTAAGAAGTTGTGTTATTAATACAAAATATATTTTTTTAATTATAAAATATACATTGGATTGAATTAATCAAAAGTGCCAAAAAGGTAATGAGGCTAACTGAAAGGAGCCTCCTTAATAAAATAGCATACTCAATCTGGACAAAATAAGCAAATAAAAAATCAAGGAGTTTAGACATTTTACTATACTTTTAATTAAATTGAAAAATCCAATTTATTAAAGACTCTTTAACATCCTTCCAGTCCTTTTGTTTTTTTTTTTATGAAACAACTTGGATTCAATGCTACTCTAAATCTACAAAGCATCTGAAATCTCATGAGTCATCATAACCCCCCACTTGAATGAGAATATATAGTTTTATATTAGAATGAATTAGTGTAGCTAGGTCATTTTTCCCCTGAAAGCATAGAAAAACAATACAATCAAATAAAGTTACTAATGGAAAAATAAAATCAATTCAAACTTGTGCTGAATGCTTCAGCTAAGTCCTTCACAACCCACCCCTAAGCCCAAAAATATGGCTCCTAAGGCCTTAATATGACATAATATTAAACAAATTTCTGCCCAAGGAAGTTAAACAATTGGCTCGTGTTGATGAGATGAAGTGTTTGTTTTATGTGTGTTAACGAGGTGAGTTGCCATCTGAGAATATGATCCAACAGAAGATGGAGAGCATAGCATATTTTCAGTCAATCAAAATAGTTCAGAGATTTGGCAAAACAGCTATTCATGTAACCATCATACCAAGGTTTTGTGAACAAGGAACAATTGCACCATAGATATACCTTCAAATAAACCATGACAAGGTTTCAAAAAATAGTGATCATCTTAACAATTGAGGATACTTATTGTTGGCTAAATTGAAATGAGCATATGATATGATATTACTGTTCTATTCAGGACAAGAAGAACATTCTTACTGTATACACCATTTGACCTATCTCAATTTCAATCACCTAAAGGTCACCCTGATAAACTCCACATTCATCCAAGGATTGGATGCTGAATTCAATCAAAGATAGGATATATCAATTAGTCGGCATCTTGGGAAATTTCCTACTCCATATGGACTAAGAGTGCAAGAACTACTCATTTTCAATACGCCGGTACCATCTCAGTCCAAAATAAAGCAGGACACAAAATGCAACAGTTTAAACTCAAAATACAATACTTTAGGGTTAATCAAGTAGCAATCAAATGATCTTATACCCGTAACGATCAAATAATCTTTATAATCATGTCCACTAAACTATCCACATTCTTGGGATAAAAAATCACCATATATCCAGCTCTCATCACAAATAAACCTAAGCCTATACACTGATTTGGTATTTCTATCCCATCTACTTCTTTTCCCTTTCTTCCCTCTCTATTTACCTGAAACAATGCTATGTGGAAAAGCAAATTCATTAATTCAAAATTTTATTCCTTATTCCAATTTTACTTCTAAAACCATGAAAACGAACTAGACACAAGTTACATGTCTCATCATTCTCACTGTTACAAAGTATAAAAACGTAATTTTAACCAATTAGAAAATTTTGAAAGGATAAAACAGACTAAATTTTGTAAGTGCCTTTGGCGATAACCTCTAACATCAATGGAACTTTAAGTTGGCAATTTGCATCATAAAAGTTTGCATTGAGTTGCACAATAAAAGTTTTACATAAGGAGAGTGTATCCTCTCTAGTACAGGGTAAGTTAAGTTGATGAGAGATACACACAAACCTATCCCTCAAAATCATCACACTTATATTAGTTTTTGTGTGTATTTCTTTCCAACTAAGACTCCCATTCTGATGATAGAACAATATCAAAATGACCTTTTAGAATTGCACGTAAGTTTTGTCCACTCGATTACTCCAGCCAACCCGATGAATTAAACTAAGTATATACCAGGACCTTTATTAAGCAGAAAAACTAGTTCTTAGAAAAGTAAAACCCTTTTGTTATTCCACTTTCAGGTCTCAAAAAACCCATCCATGCAACAAGGTATACTAATATAAATATAATCTCACGATCCGCGTCACAAGAAAGAAGAATACACCACGCACCGAATCCAGGTCAGACACCGCTCTTGACGATGTTCCTCCGCGCCAGGAACCTTGCGATTGGGGGAGTGAGCGCGACGGTGATGGGAACGCGCACGGGGAACAGCGCCTTGTTGCAGAGGATCGCAAGCGTGAAGGCTCCGCCAGCGGAGGCGGCGAGCTGCGCCGTCCGGTTCTTAGGAGGTTGAGAGGCGTCTTCGTCGTTAGGGTTAGGGTTTTTCTGGTCGGAGACGGCACCCATGTGGAACTTCTCGAGAATGGCTTCGACGTCGACGTTGTTCTTTATGGCGACGTATAGACTGGCAATGGAAACTGTGGAAACGCTCAGGTGAACGCCGAGAGCCACTTTGCCATATTTCTTCATCAGTTCGCGGAATCGACCACCAGCCATTGTTTCTGTGTGGTTTTACTTCTTTGAGATTGATACAACGTTGTTCCACTGAGGATAGCACCGTGCTTTGTGTATGTATGCGAGAGAGATAGACAGAGAGAGAAAGAGAGTGAGAGCGAGAACAATGGAGAATTTTAGCTAGAATAGGAACGGTGGCGGTGAAGAAGGCGGCGGCTTCTCTTCGGTGAGTGGCTTAGGGTTTTAAACTTCTAAAGGTAACTAACCCAGCATTACGACACCGTTTCAGAAATATGAATATTAGCTTTATATA